AGGGGCTTGCCTTTGTTACTCGAATTATATCCATCGTGTAGAAGCCATGCTAGGTATAATAAATTAAAGGGCTGTGGGTTTTTTGAAAATCTGATTGATGAAGGTAATTTTCCAAATGTTTCTTCAAAATGCGTAAAAACAATATGCATAATGTGCATACTGCAACCAATTCATGTTGCATTTATATTTACTTTTTTATTAAATTGAACCATTGCACCTTTCTGATTACCGGACATATAGGCGAAATTCTACAGTATACAGATAAGCATTCACTCTTCCAAAAATGCTTTTTTTTATAATGTCGTCAATAATTGACTTCAGTTTCGTATTAAAAACCTGAGTAATTAGGTCTGGCCTGTCTTGTGCTAATTGATCTGGAAGAAGTGCATTTGTAATTTTAGACCAATTTGGGTTGCATGTTGCTGTAATAAATAAATCGGGCTTACCAATAGCTTGTATAATAGCTATTCTGTTCTGATAAAGTTTTTGTATTTATCGAGGCCTGCTTGTAAAACTTAATAGCAAAATAATCCATTTTTCTATATTAGTCATCTCTCTACTATCTAATAGTTTTTTGAATGTAGAAGGAATCAGTAAAATAACAGGTTAAAAAAAATAAGATTCCTGAGCTTAGCTAAATCTGATCTCAAAAGTAAAAAAATTTAAAAAATAATCAAAAAAAAAACTTTTTTTTTAAAGTTTTAAAAAAAAAACAAAAAAACAAAAAAAAATGTTAGGATTTTTAATAAACTTAGTGCATGCAAACCTTCTGTGAGTAAAGCATCATAAAGTCCTTTATACAAATATATCCTGATCTTCTCTTGATTTAGTCTTAGAAAATTAAGACATGTTTGCTTTATGATCATATACATGTCTATAATCTATTGTTGAAAAGGCTGCCCAAAATGATGCAAAACAATTGCCTTATCAGGGTGACCAAGATGAAGTCGATATGCAAAGTAATTCATTGTAGTAACATAATTTGCTATTATAGATTCATCTTCTTTACCACCACTATGTTCTTCATTTATTAACTCTTGCACAAAATCATCACGTAAAGAAATTGAAGGTTGCTATCCATCTTCTTTTTGAGAAAATATAAGTACATAATGCAGTAGTGCATATACATGATGTATTTCTGAAATTTGTTTGAGTCTTCTATCATGTGGCTATAAAATAATATTATGCTTTTGGGGCTCTACTTCATATTTACCTCCAATCATGATAGCTGCTACTTCACTTGCACTTGGAGTATTATATCTTCAAGGATCAGTTAATCTATTATTAGTTATTACTATCTTTAAGTCCAATAATAGATTGTGCTTTAATTGTTCACTGGCATGTCGAAATATTCTAACATATAGATTTATATCATGTAATATCTGCTAAAGCTCTGATAATATAGTCGAATCCATCCTAAGAATTACATTCATTCAATTTTGCAACTCGTGATCAGTATTATATATATATATTTGGGCAAACTGCAGATCATCATCTTTATAATTAAGAAGTAAAAAGCCTATATTATGATATATTTCTCTATATATTCGAAAAGTATAGATGCAGCTAGTATCTGTTATAGAAGGATTAATCTTCGCTTCTATTGATGTAAAGGCTAAAGCTAAATTATATTTTCTAATATTTTGACGAAATAACCATGACTAAGAGTCAGTTCTGTGAGGCGTATATCTAATAAAGATGGTAATTCTTGAAGAGAAGAAAGAAGAACTTTTCCTTTAGCGTAGCAAGTAGTAAAACTTGGTGACTTAATAGATGAATTCAATTTCTTTTCATTCAACCACATATTAGCTCCACAAAAAGAACATTTACAGTCTATTTTGCCAAGCATATGACGGTTTAGTCCCTGTAATATCCAAGGAAAAATACACATTTTTGGAATTTTAACCAATATTGAAATTGAAGGCACACTTGTAAAAGACTCTAAAGCATTTGTAGAAACATTAGACAAAGTAATCGAAGGCATACTTGTAGATGATTATGAACTATTTGTAGAAATGTTTGACAATGCAATATCTGAAAATGTACTTGTAGATAATTCTGATGTGGTTGTAGTAATACTAAATGAAAAAACACTTGTGATCGAATCTGAAGAAGCTTCGTGAGCGTTTGTAGAAATATTAGCTAATGAAATAGTTGAAAACAGCTCTGCAGTAGTTATGTTAATGCTATTAGATGGTATTGTACTTGAAGTAGTCTCTAAAGTTGTTGTGCATGTACATTTTTTTCTTCTCGATTGTTTAAGAAGTTCTAATTGTTCAGATAACAGGTTTTCTTTTATTGTACTGTAGCCTTTCTTCATTTTTCTAATTGTGCCTCTCTTTCCTCAACAGTCTCATTTTCTTTTTGATGTCTGTTTGCTTCTCTTCTTAATCTCATTTGTCTCTCTTTTTCATTTTCATTAGCATTATTGGATTGTTGTGCAATTTGCTAGGTTTCCAGAAGTTTGCTAAGCATTTTGCTAAATTTTTGATTTTTTTTTAAGTTTACTACTATTCTAAGAAAGAAGAATAAAGTATGCTTTATTATCTATTAAATGGTATTTATATACATTCAATATTTAGGTCTAAAAATCAAAAAAAAATAAACAATATATTTATTGTATTATTTATATATTAAAATTAATTATTATATGACTCGAGTGATTAAAGGTAGATTATTTAATTATTATGGTCATTAGTATTATCATATTATATTAGATAAATATAAGTCACGATCTGAATTTTATATACACATAGTATATAGCAGCATTTAAAATTAGGGGTATTTAAAAAAAGATCAGCAGTTTAAAAGGTCAGTCATTTATGCTACATATATATGATTTTAATATATAGATAATACAGAATACTATCTACTTCTATTATATCTTTATTAGATATTTTTAAGTATTTGCTTTATATAGTTATATATCTATCTTAAGAATACAAGTTTAAACAATCTTATCTATAACCTAAATCTACCAGAGTATGTTATGTTTCTGCTATATATTGGGTTATATCTAGATTTAGTATTCAGACTATTTCTAGTTACCCACTATATTTATCCATGTCTCACTATCAAATCTTGATAACTTTCAAATTGGTTCATTTAGGAAATTAGTTCTTAATAGTCTTCCAATTCGGTGTGTCTGTTATTAGATTTTTTTAAACTGGCATATTTTCTAATAGTTGACCTCTTGTATATATTTCTCAAGCCAGATACCTGCTATCATTATTAATTTCACATAAGAAGCATTAGTATCATATATTGAAATAGTGGCTTATCTTGTATTTGTGCTATCTTTTATCATCTTATATCTTTTCAAACAATTTACATTACATGAATTTTCTAGACCTTCTACTTACTTGCCCAAATATACTAACCTCATATCTTAAGCTAGGTCCTGCTATTGCTATTAGTTTACTATCTTCAGGTCTTAATATTTTTTAAGTTATCTGATGCAGTATATATCTTACTATCCTCTTAAGTACTTCTTTATATAGTATTCATCAGAACCTTAGTTCATAAAGATCTCTTGAGTTGCATAGCAACTATAAGGCTATACTCTTCTAGCTATTAGCTTTTATAATTTTGCTTTAATGATTTATCTTATTAAAGACTAGCCTATTACTACAAAATTACTTAAGTAACAAGCTAAATTACTTTTAGCTATTTCTAGTTGGTATAGCATTTGTGCTAGTATATTCTAGTTTTTTTTTTATCATAGACTTTTATATAGATATGACTAGAGCTCTAAATTGATACCTTTATATATACAGAGACAGGTTATATTCTCTATGCTGAATAACTTTCTATAGTTATTCTAATAATGTTAGAGGTGTTTCCAATTCTAGTTAAAATATGATCTTTTACTACAGCCCATAGTTGTATATCATGTTTCTCTCACTACTCTAATTTTAGTAATATTGTATCACCCTTCTAAGCAAGTACCTATATAAGAACTTATATATACAATCTGTTGATTATTCTTCCAAGCAAGTACCCACAAGTTGGGTGTAGAGTTGTTATTATTGCTAAATATAAAGATGATGGGATGTTGGTATTGTCTCTGAGTTATTCCAACCAGAGAACTTATATATACAATCTTCTACTGTCTAGACTTTTTGTGATACTACTGTCACATATAGTGCCAACACTTTACAATCTGATCTTCTTCCAAAAACTTCTTATTCTGGTTTCATACTATACTTGGATTTTTCACAGAGCTTTACATCCAATTTTAATGGCTTTCCATAAATTACAGAAGCAAATTTTATTAAAATTTACCTCCAGCCTAACTTGAACCATTGACCTAGTCTGTGGGGGTTTGGGAGCCTAAATACTAAGCTAAGATACCCAAACCTACTGATAATTATTATTGATTATCAAACACCAGAACTAAGTAATATAAAATAAATTATTAAAAAGCTAAAATTAGTAAGCTTTTATTTAATTCTATTCAAAACTAATATGTTTAGTTTTACTTTATTAATAAAAGAATAAAGTTACAATGTTATATTTAATTTAAGAATATTTTATTATCAATAATTGGTATTAGTTAGAATGGGTGGCAAATTATCCATATATGCAATTTATAGCTACTGTCAAATTGTTTATTTAGGTCAATTTATTCATTTTCTAAATTGCTCTACACACTTTACAACTAAGTCAATTAATGAAATTATGTGATATTCTCTATTTTTACGTATTGCTAAATCTAATCAAAAGTTTTATGATATGAAAGAGCTAGTACCATAAAATGTGAAAATAAACACAGCACCTTCTACTTTTTCAATGTGATCGCCAATCACACGAAAATCTTAAATTCTTCATTTTTTTAAAAAATTATCACACAAAAAGTCACAATTCC